CAATAGTTACATCGTAAATCTTTTAGTACTGTGCATCTATCCATGAAATGTTGACGATCTGCTAATTTATTTGAATTGCATAGCGAGCAGATATTCTTTGCTGTAGATTTCCATTTATCAATAGAAAGTCGCTTCGGACTTTGATTGTCGTTACTTATTTTTCCTAACCATTAAAAATGTTGAATACACCAATTTTTAAATCGTGAAGTGTCAAAGCGAGGTGTAATGAACTTTTAAGAACAATTGAATAGCAAAACTTTAAATTTAAAGCTATTTCGTTCGAGCTAACCAATTAGTCAATCCGTTGGAAAAATAAATACGATAAACACTGCCATCAGCCATTGACATAATCCATATTAATTAATCTGAAACGATATCAAATACTCACTTGGGAAACAAAGATTTAAACTTTGTGATATGACATTCATAAAAATTTTTAGCTTTTCTGATTTCAGACCTTTCAGAACTGGACATGAAAACTCTATGAATCTCTGTAAATCATTGTTTATATGTAGCTTATCTCCGTAAGCACAGAGTTGCATTTGTACTTTTAATATTTTTAATAATACCTATTTATGAGATATGAAAAGCAACATGGTAACATGGTGATAGTAGACCAATGAATGTCATTGGTTCACTATATACGTATCATTTGCAAAAAATCATCAGTAATTATGGATCTTTTGTGTTTACTTTTGACTGTAGCTGCATTGCTAAATTAGTTTTTAAATAAATATGTTTAAATTACACCCACCGACTATAAACCATTTGGTATGGTTGATTCGTTGATTTGTGTTCATTTAGGAATGCTTCACTTCAGTTTCAAAGGAATGAAACGTCATCTCCAACGATTTATTTAAACCGTAAAATGCAAATCTCTATAAAGAATATTCCATTTGGTGTCATAGAAAAATCTATCGTCTTCAAAATGACGACTAATGGATTAATATCGTTTTTTATGCAATTTTTGGTTCAAAGCATCTCCTATCTTTGAAACACGATTAATGTTTTGAGTAATTTTTTATTACATTACGAATAGTGTGCTGCGTAGGTCAATTATATTGATCATATAACTATATTTTACGTAAACGTATTAAGTGAATATGGATATATACTTTATTTTTTTAATAAATGTAACCAATTTTGTGAAACTGTTTATATTTATATAGAGGTTTATCAAATCAAATTCAACACAAATATCAAATTTTGGTGGAATCCTCTATGTACATTATAGGTAAAGAAATATAGTTGGTAAAAAATAAATAATTGATTTAAAATGAACTGTAGAAAGATATCGAAAATTCAAAAGTAAATACATTCCTTGATAATGTTATTTGTGTACTGTAAAATGTAGGTATGAACATCTATATCCATCTAGTTGAAGAAGATTTTGATATGGTTATCAGATAAGAAAGGCATTCAAACATTAAGTGTTTCGACTTTTTATTTCTCTGATATGTAACAGTAAGTTTCCTAAGTTTTTTCTTTTTTTTTTTTTAATGGGATTAATACTTTTGTAGCAAACTTCCCCAGTCGCCATTGACTTCCCACTACAGCTGCGGTCCACATTGTTTTCTTATAGTTCTCTGCATTATGCCTATGCCAATGCAGAACATACTATACATTCTATTTATGGTACATAGTTTAGATATTTCATGATAAAATATTTCGAATTAATAATTTTTTTATTGAAGTAATAAAAAAGGCTACAATATCGTTAGACGTAAACCATGTTTAATTAATTTTTTCTTTTTTCAAATCCGTACAAATTATTTTCTGTCTATAATATTTTCAACAGGATAGTATTATATTATCTTGCGTAGCTTCGATCTTGATTAAATACATTTAATTTTAATCCAAGAAGTCATCTGGGTCTAAAGGAAATATAATATTGAAATCTGAACAAATCGTATGAAAATATTTAATAGTTGTACATGATATTAAAAGTAATAATAATGTAGTAATAATGTTGAATTTCATATAAACTTCTATTCTATTATATATAATTAATATAAATGTTTCATAAATTATTATATTATTATGTAAAAAATATTTAAAAGAAAGTGTTCTTCTGCGCGATTATATACACTCATATTTATTATTAATAACTGAAGTAACAATTTAATAGAATAAAAAATGCTAATATATAAAAAATATTTAAAGAAATATATACATTATTATCTAGAAAATATTTAAAAATCTCTAAAATAAAAAAAAAATAATGCATCTCGAATCGTGAATATACACGTATATATATTTCAAACATATATGAATAATATAATAAAGAAATCCTTTATACCATATTTAACATTAATGAAATCTAAATAATTTCAAAATGTAAGGAATGATATAATATAAGTCCGCTGCAATTACTACAAAAATATCATAGTGCTGAGCCTATTAATTTGAAATTATCTATTATATATTTATCTTAAAAAGTTTTATAAACAAATTTTGTATAGATATAGTATGTTACTTATTTTATATGTATTTTTTGAGCATTCAATTTTTGACTATAGATCTTACATTTGCAATTAGTGCAAAACACCTTATTTGCATGTTTAGAAGCAATTTTCATATAAATTTTTATATTAATAAAAATTAGAAGCTTTTAACTAAATACCGATATGGGTACGGAATGAAACGGATTGATTGCAAAATACTACTTATTAAAGCTGCAACAATATTTTTGGTCTATTGAAAAAGTACGAGGGTAGTTATGCTAAGCATATGTCCTCATAGGTCCTTAAAGTGACCAAATTTTAAAACAAAATTTTCTGTTTCTAAAAACTGTATATTTTTTAGTAGTTTTTTCTTTTTTTGTTGTCCTCAAAGTGCTGGAAGTATGAAAAAATAAGTATGTCACGTTTGAAACTATCGGAAAACTACTGACAATGGCCATTGTACTGAACTCATGTTGTCCACACCCCCGCCGCACATGCGAGCGGCGGAAGGCCGCAAAAAGGGGCCGTAAAAAAGCAATTCTGATTTAATAAAAAATAAATTAACACTTATCCAAGCAAAAACGAACCAGCCAAAACTGTAAAATGGAGAAACTTTTTCCACTCAGGTCGCGAATGCGATATGATAATCGCGTTCGCTTTACGCTGTCACTTTTACCGCCCATTTAATAAACACAAGCAAGAAGGATAGTTTATGTACTTGCATGGAATCGAAATGGAAACGTTTTTTGCAAGTGCCATAAAAGCACTACATTTGGCATATGTGACACTTATTGTGGTTAAAGCGGAATGCATGGCATATCTCCCAGCATTGTGTAACCAAAATTCACATTTCTTCGGCTCGAATTTGAAATAAATTCCTTAAATACTGACAGAAAATTTTTAAAAATCCAACAGATAGCCAAACTCTTATTCTCCTTCAAATTAATCTACTTTGATGTAATAAGGAATTTATACTCACACATATCCTGGAATTTCCATGACAAAAAAACCATGACTTTTATCAATGTTGAATTGTTTTGCTGAAAGGGTATTGCTGCAAAATATGACATAATATGGCTATGAAACTGAAAAGAGTACATCCATAAAAAATGAAAAACGTTGTTGTGATATAAAAAGGATGTGGTCCTTGCTAGTTACAGTTACGAAAAGCTCCACTCAGAAGTTGAGAAGGGGCTAAAGTACAAGTTTTATTGAGCAATTTCCAATACAGAAGAACAGCGAATTTGCAACAATAACAAGTTTTACGTCGTTTTTTGTCATGGTTTTTTTCTCAAAATTTATATTTATAAATACATTTTTTTATCCTCAGCCGTTGTCCTGAAATGTTACGATTGCTGTTATTTTGCTTTGGTAGTTGTCACAGAAGTGTGACAGAAGGGTATGCTCACGCCACATTTCCAAAACATTTTACTCCATGTTTATATATCCTCAGCTATGACTGCTTGCTACGACTGAATTTAACGAGTTGCCATATTTGTCCATTTCTGTAGCTTATGTGCGCTTTTATGCGTGGGTCAAATACTGTAGCATGACTTATTTTCCCCCTATTCAATGGAAGTTCAATGACGCTTATTTATATTAAAAAGTGTCATTTCAGTGTTCGCAAAAGTTGAGAAACTCGAATCTTAATGCCTTTTTTACTCGACATTTCGCAGTTCGATTTTTATTGCATTTCAACAAGTGCTCATATCTTATATTTTCGGTTTTAAGTGGATGTCTTTATTACACGCATAACTGCGAGGTCGTCAAAGAGTGCACCCGGTTCAGGTTATGTGTTTCAGCAAACAAAAAACTGCATAATATACACACACTAAGGACATTTTTATTGGCTAAAATACCGGGCATTTTCAAAATTAAATTAAGAATAAAATTTTTATAACATCAAAAGATTCATTAATACTAAAATCAAAATTTAATATTAATATCTTCAGCTTTAATAGGTAGTATTTCACCTGTACATAATACATTTATCTTTTCTTTGCAATCTAATATCCTCAAATTATTAGAAATAAATAATCTTGATTTTAAAATATTTTTAAATAAAAAAAATTAAATACAATTCTTTGAGGCAATTAAAAAAATTACATAATATTATATATAAAACTTTTTATATTAGATATTTTCATTAAAACTTTTAGTAAATTTTATAGATTTCTAATATGCAGTATCATCTACCCACAAAAAATATCATATTACAAATTTCCATTTTCTAAATAATTACTTTTTTAATGCATTTAAAAGGAAACTATAGTTATATTTTTAATTCTTACGATTGCTGTGCATCATTTAAATTTTTATGTATTTTTTATTAGTTTAATTAGATAAGCATTTCTAGCATTTGGTTAAAGACTATAGTTCTACTATAATAGTTGTACTATGGTTCACATAACTATATTATTGAACAAGCAAATTATATATTCAAAATTTTATTCATTCTTCAAAACACATTTTTACTATAATAATTTTACTATTTAATCCTTAAAGAAAACAATTAATAATTAACAATAATTTTCACTTTTTCAAAAACCAAAATAGCCGAGTTTCAGTCATGCGCGGACAGGTCATAACCCCACAAGGATTAGGGATTGTTGGCATACGTGTTTCCGTGGATCGCGATTCTAGGTTTGGTTTCACTCTCACAAGACAAGGAGGCTGGTAAGTAAATTGCAAAATTGTTAATTGCAAAATAATTTAAAAGTTTGCAAAATATTGGAAGAAGTTAAAAATTTCGAATTTTATAATACGGAAAATAAATTTTTTTTTATGCTAGTTGTTTTTAATATGTCATTGTAGCTTCTGAGATACATTTATAATATTCACAATAATGAAATATTAAAGTGAAAATCAGCTTATGCCGCAACAAATGAAACCACTTAAAAAATATAATTAATTTCAAGTAAATAAATTCCATTTATGAAATGAAAATAGAAGCACCCAAAAGCGAAAATACAAAAGATAAAAATCCGCAGAGATGTTTTTTCAGTTTTGTTAACCGAACACTGCTGGAAAAAAAACCGCCGTGAAACTACAACTGAGTACCCCTAAATCGTACTACAGCTGAGTACTGAGTCGAAATCAGTGAACAGGCGTTCCCCGCATCCTTACTACTCTCTGCCTCGATTTTTTCTTATTGTAATTTTAAGTTTTTTTCAAAAACTAATTAAATTGAATTTGTAACGCTTCAACAATTTTTAATTCTTATAATTTTAACGAATGAAAGGACACTCAACGAAATTACATAAAAAGTAACAATGGAATTAAAACAATGCAACTAAAAAAGATGCAACCGAAGATGCCTAAGACTATAAAGTAATAAGTGGAAGATCTTTCATGTTGCAATCAAAAAATAAATGCTAATTAATTTAGAAAAACATTTAATGTAATTTAAAATAAATATTTTACAATTAAACATAGCTATATAAATAAATTTAATCAGGTAGTTAACTATGTACTATAATACTTACTTCACTTTTGATTTTTAAATAACTTTCCCGAATCAAATATATAAAACTCAAAAATAATTTATTTTGACTTTTAAATTGTATGACTAAATTGTAACTAAACACGCCACTTCTAGAAAGGAAATTATTTTTATTCAGAAGAATATCATTAAAAAGCGTTACCCACGTCAATGCAAATTTCTATTTATGTCAAAGTTTCTATTTTCAACCGTTTTTTAATTACTTGACATTTGTTTTAGGAGCTCTTAAAATAGCGAAGAGGTTTTTGCTTTCCATTAAAGAAAAAATAAATACTCTGTTTTTCGCCACAGACAGATTTTTATTATTAACAAAAATCGTAACAATAATTGACACAAATTCATGACTACTTCTAATTACCACAGACTAGTCTCTTAAAATCTTCAGACTACAGTACGAGAATTCGTCGGGTCTGGAGCTAAATTTGAACACAAGTCAATACCAATAACAGTTACGATTTAGTAAGAATTCTTATAGCTCATGCTTTTTGAAACACACAAACTTATTAAAACCAAAATTATGCAATATACAGGATTATTTATTTAGGGGAACCAAAAAGAAAGACACTTTTCCTAGAAATTTCTTCAAATTTTTATATCAATATTTTGTTAAGACCTTACGTGTACCATTGAAATACTTTCCACAAAAAAAACTTACAGTACTAGATCCTTTTAAAGTAATAAAGTTAAGCTATAAATTCAAGAAACTTTTTCACAAAAAAGACAAAACACACCATGTTGGTGTTCGGATCGTCCATTTTTTAAAATGGCAAATCTTAGGCTTTAATTTAATTTAAATTAAAATATGAAGAGAATTACTTGTACTTTATTTACTTCTAGTATTTCTGATTAACAACAATTCTTCTTTAGGTTCACTAAAAAGCTTGAGTTCTTTTTTAAAACTTAGACTCGTTGAATATCACAAGTGAGTCCCAAATCCGAGTAACAATCCAAAGACTCAGAAATGATTTGTACACTTTTGTTTTAAAAAATGCACACCTTCTTAATAAATCTTAATAAATTAAATTTATTAACAAAGTGTGCACGTAACTATATAGCTACTATATATGAATATAGTTAGCTATCTATAGTTAGTAATCTTATAAATATGTACGACAGACGATACCATAGTTAGTTAGTTAGTGGAAGTATAACACTGACTAAAATAAAGGACCTCACGTGCTCATTATGCGTTACTCGATTATTGACTTGTTCGATTCTAAACGATATATAAATTTTTTTGCTTAACAGTAAAAGGTTGCAGATTTGTGATAGATTAAATATATATTTTATTCATCCTCAATAATAATAAGAATAATATTTCAACTGGAATATATGGGAGTACTTCTTATTATCCCTCTAATAAACCTGCAATTAGAAAATAATAATGATAAAAGGAATTTTAGTTTTCAGCTTGACTTAAGTTGAGCCTTTTCCGAGTTGGTGCATCTGAGCCATTTTACTCTATAATGGCTGGGGGGGTTTCTGCAGAGTCCCACCTATCTCACAGACTAATTTGAGTATTTCTCATAATCTTCGTGATTATTCAATGAATGATCTAAGATCTGCGTACCGCCCCGTGCAATTAGTGCTTACTCTGAGATTAGATAGTGCTAAGTAGGATAGCGTGTCAGTTTTCACATATAGCTTCAGAGCTCTGTCCCTTATGTATATTTACTTTTCAGACGCTTATAATTATTTACTATGATGCCATTTACCTATTCATACCGATTATTATTATATATGTATTATATGACATGCACCAATAGAGGGATCATATGTGTACCATACTTTTATGTGTTCCATACCAAATATGTCTTAAATTAGAATGAATTAGATACTGCCATTCTAAACATTCTAAGATTTCTTAAATTATGTTTCCATAAAATTTGTAACAATATTATTATTTATATAAAATATACAAAATATTATTATTATGCCGTTTCTGAGAAAGAAAATTTCTAATCTTGTACAAATACGCATAGCTAAATTCCTTACCGTCAAAACCACAGACTGTATATCAAAATTTTTAAAATGTCTTCTCAGATATGATACTTTTATCATTGTTGTTTAACAATTCAAAGCATTTTCCTACGAATATTGGTACCGTAGTTGTGTAATAATTCTTCATTAACCTAGTGCCTGAAATCCAACAGACAGCCCCAATGTATTTTCCAATTTTTTTCCTTTAATACACATTTGTTACCTTTTTATATAAAAATATGTGCACACCAGTAACCACAATCTAAACAAGACAAAACGACGCAGCAACATCCGCTCTACAAAAGGACATATGCACTATGGTACACCTGCACGCAAAAAGGACCTCATGCTGTGATACATGTTTTCCCTTCGAAAACAAAAAGCAATATGCTTTATTCATTTATTTTCTGTCCTCACACACACATTTTTAATTTTCAAGTAAAATATTTTTAGTGCTTAAAATAATTTTATAATAATTTGAGGTTTCTGCTTTTACTTTTCACAGTACACACATTTCGTGTAAACTTGTAAGTTCGAGTAGTAGTTAGTATTAGATCCCTTAAATAGTTGGCTTACATTTTCATAACATGTGAAATTTAAAATATATCTTTAAGGATATGTTTAAGATACTATCTTATCGTGTTTAAAAATCGTGTAAACTACATATATAATTTTAACCGACTAAACTGAGTCGGTTTTAGGACCACATATCCGAACATGACTTGTTCGGATGAGTAAAGAGATTATTTTTTCAAGATTTATTTTGGGATGTCCGCTATCATTCTAAGGTTGAAAACTTCCATGATGGAACTGGTCAGTCTTGTCAAAACCGATCGTTTGCAAAGCAAATGTTCAGCTTCTTATTTTTCCTCTATACTCCTGCAGTGATTTTATTACATACATGAAAAATTAAAGTTATAATATTTTAATTATATATCTAATTATAAATATGCATATGTTATCAGTTACATATAAAATTATTATACATATTAATTATAAAATTTTTGTTAACTTCAACATGCTTTATTGCGAACCAGCTCATTCCAACTAAAAAATACAGGAATTTTTAAAATTTCTTACTCTTGAATTTTATTAAAATAAAGTGATGTATTTTATGTTCTCTTCACTAATTGAAATAATTCTTCGATATTTTTTTTTATAATTTTAATATTTTAATTTAATTTCATGTATTTTTTAAGGCACTTTTTATTTTTAGCCAGCCAAAAGGCAATTTGGGTCAACTGTAGTTTAACTATTTTATAGTCATACATTCAAACAATAAATTTTATTATACTCGTAGTTGCAATATATGTTTTAACAATTATTTTTATATATTTTTTCATATATTCATGTATATATATGTATATACACACATTTTGCGGTAGTTGGGAGTAAATCCGAAATAAATTGAAAAAACTATGAAACATTTAATTTTGGGTGAGCATAAATGCGGCGTTGCTTAATGTAATTTGAATTTAAAACGGCTTACATTACAATGAAAAATTAAATTAAATAAATAATGAAAAGAGCAATGAAATAATTACATAGCATGTACGTCATTAGTTATATAAATGTAATTCTCGTGTAACTATTAAAGCTAATGAATACTTCAACGCAGTTGAACTTTCACGATGCAAAGTTTTCGACTATAAACTAACCAAAACGCTTTTCGTAAGAGCGATTTTATCCTTTAAGTTTTTCTTGTATTTCTTCTGAGTAGTCAAGTAATTTTTTGACTTACAATAACAAAATTTATAACAGCTTGGGAGAACCTGAAAACACATAAATGATATCCAAAAATATAAATCGTTCACTACAACAACGTTTAAAAAAATCAAAAATAACTTGCCTTTATGATTAAAAGATCAGTATCTCTCCAGTAGATGGTTATCCACTTAATCTATTTAAGCTATATTTATGATTTTTAAAGTATAATTAATCCTTATATATATTTTAACACATGCGCTTGAAAAAAGACTTGAAGTTTACTGCAACATAGAAGCTTCATCACCCCCTTCAAACAGAAAACCTTGTACGACGGCTTAAGAGAACCAAACCGTCTGATTTCACTTACTTATTTGGCCATAACAACCCGTTACCGAGTTTCGGCCTGACGCAGCATGTCTTCCCAGGCGCCTCTGCTGCGTGCGCGCCTTCTCCAGTCTCGTATATCTAGTCCAGTTAGTGCTTCCACAACTTGGTCACTCCACCGTAGACACGGTCTACCTCTGCGTCTTCTTCCGCCAACTACTGCTTCAAACAACTTTTTCGACGGAGCATCTTCATCCGCTGGATGTTACAGCTCGTGGTTCATTCTAATGCGGTTGTCGTCGAAAACTCGTAGAGGACCAAAAATCTTACGAAGAACTTTTCTCTCGAACACCCAGTGCTGCTTCATTATTCTGTGATAACGTCCATGCTTCTGCGCCATACAGAAGCACAGGGAGGATGAGCGACCATAGAGCGTAAGTTTCGCTTGTCGAGAGAGAGCTTTACATCCCAATTGCCTACTGAGTCCATAATAGCACCTATTAGCAATGGTGATTCTTCGTCTGATCTCCAGAGTAACATCATTTGTGTTCGTTAGCTCGGTGCCACTAGCTCGGTGTCCGAGCGACGCACATTCACGTCTGATTTCACTACATAAATTAAATATTAATCACTATACTACAATATTTTAAATAATAATTAATATCGACCCGATATAAAAATATTGCTAAACAGCTTTTATTTTTAACTAGGCGCAATTGAATAAATTATAAAAAAAAATACACTTCAATCCTACAACCAGTGTTTACCATTTATCAGCACCATTTCCATGGATTTACTAAAAAAAGTAATCGAATAAGTTAAAAACAATCTAGAACTGAGATATAATTTGTGGACAATATATAATGCAGTCAACCAGGGAGAAAGTCATTAGAATATCAAACTGTACTTCATAGACTTGTGTCTGTCTGATCTTTAAATTCTTTTGAATCAGAGAACATTATTTATATTCAAAATATTTGTCCAAAATATATCTTATATATATAATTCTTCTGTACGTGTGTTGACAGTGAACTCCTCCTAAACGGCTGAACCGATTTTGATGAAATTTTTTGTGTGTGTTCAAGTGGATTCAAGGAAGGTTTAGATTCACAATTTTACCCACTGGATAATGTCTTTTTAATTAATTTTTTATTTTTTGATATCCATATACATTTATATTAGAAATTTAAAATTTATTCATGCTTACTTTGATATGTTTAAAAATTTTAAAATCTCTAAAATGAATCGTAAAACTGCCGTTGCATAGCTTAAGTGCATTTAAATTCCGCAGCACAATTATAGGTGAGTCAATTTTTAATCTTAAGTTATGTGATGGAATTCCTGATAAATCCAGCGAATTCAAAAATAAAACAGGATAGTTGAACGATTCAATTTAAACTCTAAACATTTTAAACAAATCAAAGTAACCATGAATAACTTTTAAATGTCTAATATAAATGTATATGGATACCAAAAAACTGTATAATAATTAAAAAAACGTTATCCAGTGGATCAAATTGTGAATCTAAACCATCCTTGAATTCACTTGAACACACACAAAAAAGAAGAATTATATATATAAAGATATAAATAACGTACAAAAAACAATGCCACGTCTTCGTGGACGAGGAGGAAATATTGGTCGACGGACTCGGAATTCACAATTACTCCAGAACCGTCGGTTAAATAGATCGGCAGAAAACAATGAAAATGAAAGAAACCAGGATACAATCACACGTGCTAATGAAAGTCAAGAGCAACGCAATGAACGCCAGAAAAATTAATTGCAAGGGGAAACAACGTTCGCCGGGTCAGCTAGTATTATATATAATTAACAAACCTAACTTTGTCTAGTGATAAATGACCGGGTCGCACGAAGTTTAAAACTTGCTTTCAGATACTTACGCCACGCTCTTTTCACATTAGATTAATATATTTCTTTTTTTATTTATTTTCAAGATAAATTATTAAAAATTTTGAAGTGTATGAATTTCAAATAAATCAAATTTTGAACAATATTGCATTTCAATAAAATTTTCATTTTTACAGCCTATATCTGTAAAATGTTTCAAGATTTACTAGTTTCAAAATTACGAAGCAAAATGTGATGGATATATATTTTTATAATAGGATATAACTAGAACTGCTCCTAAGTTTTCAACTTTTGAGGACATTAAAAAAGATCATTGTCCACATATGTTTATTCAAAAAAATCATCAAACTTAGTTTATTTAAAATTATTTCAATTTTTTTTTAATGTTTCCAGATATTATTGATAAAACCTATCAAATCAGAAAAAAATCTTTTTTCCATAAAACTGGATATACATGGTATACTATATATGTACTCTTTATTATTTTCTTTATTTCTTACTTATTATTATTTTGTATTATTTAATATAATATTCGTTTTGTTGAATTAATTTTGTTTATTTCACAAGTTTTAAAATAATTTTTTAAACAGTACTTTTATTCCGTATGTCTTTGAGAAATATATTTCACAAAGAAATACAATTTCGTGCAGAACCGATCAGAGATAACTTGGAAAGATATTAAACGTGTAAACAATTATGATTTCTTGACACCATGCAGGGTTCTAGTTAATATCTTTAATCCACTGGTAAGAACTATCTTACAAGTAGTCTTTGCAAATAGATCTTGACAGTTAAAAAATTTCACTAAATTCTCAATGAATTATTTTACGTTAAAGATTTCTTGAGCGTGGAATTTTTTAAAATTCTTTCATTTCATAAACATTTTTTTAGATAAAATGTTGTCGGAAGACAAAAACTTAAGATTATAGCATTAACTTGCCGAATTTAGCAACTGAATATAGATTTCAAACTTTAATCCAAGCACACATAAAACGTACTTAAATTTCAAGCCATTTTGTTTTTATCCTTCTTATTTTGTTACCCATATCATCATTATACCAAAAAATACTATTCTCATCCTGAATTGGAAATGGCTCAATTTCCGCTTACATTTTCTTCGTCTTCCTAATGCATGTGCTCTTCTATTTTTATATACATTACATTGGCCATCCAACAAAGAATCAGAATCTATTTGACACATAAATCGCACACATCGCATATGTACGACGAATGATTCACCCTTACATACACAATATATGTACCTAAATAAAAAAGGGACACGGTCAAACTAAGGACGCTACCGTATGGCAAATATCTGTACTTTGAGATTCTTCCATTTTTTTATAATATTTCAGTTTGGTCTTGTTTTTTTCTTATCTTTTTGCTATACTAAGGGAAATGTCGCAACAAAATTGGATTTTTGTACAATATAAAAATCTCATCTAAACATGTTGTGGCTACGAAATAACATAGCATAATGTGTCCATTGTGGAGCAATGAAAAATGTCCTTCAAATAGGGCATGTCAAGGTTTTCTTTCTCACTTACGGAGAGATAATAAAAACAAAAAAAAAAAAAATAGAAAAAATGAAAAACTAAATAAAATCAAGAAAGAAATTGCTGCCATTTATATATTGTATTATTAAAGTAGGAAAAATTTATGCAATAAGGCGGTTACTTCCGGCAAACGATTATAAATCGATTTCACTACTAAATGAGTTTCTGACTGCCGACCAAGATTCAACATTCAACACTCAACATTCAACATTCAACATTGGCATTCTAAAAGTGAATTTCAAATTTGTCTTTTCTTGTAGAAAAATATCCTTTTTCCTTCGAACATTTACATATGATCTGAATTTACATTTGAAAAATATGTGCATGATGGTTAAAAAATTTTAGAAAATGACATATTATATACTTGGGTAACTCATATGTCTTAGCTGAATAAAAATTTTGTTAGGTGGTTTGTTATTGTTATTGTTATCTGGACAAAAGAAAAGAAATGAAAAAGAATCTTAATAAAAATATACTTAGTCGTATTATGGCAGTAGCCTTCTCCTTTGTCTTATGATATTCCTTTATTACTTAATGGCTTGGTAGCATTAAGCAAAACGTAACCATGGAAGCAAACTTCTTGGATTTATGAAAAGAGGTCACTTAAAAAGTTTTCCCCTCCTTACTCGTTGTTCCTTGCTCCTTGCTCCTTGCTCCGTGCTCCTTGCTCTTTGGTTTTTTCTTTTTTCTTTCCTGTACTAAAAGGAAGATTCAATAATTACAAAACTTTTATTTCAAAAGTAAAAGGAAAAAACTTTTGTAATTATTGATATGAATTTTGTTCTTTACTATTTTTCTGGAATTATTAATTGCATTATTTCTAAAGTTTTCTTCGTTTCAGTTGAGTTTGAAAAAATTTTTTGTACCGATGTGCAATTCTTTGTGGAATGCAGGAAGGATATCATCATTTTTAATTTACGCAATTCAATGGCAGCTTAAGCCACTTCAGAACTTTTCAATTGTACTGCAACGTAACGAAAGAATGCGCAAGTTTTTCAATTTCGCCAACAATTGAGATTTTTCGCTATAACAAAGTTATAATATCTGTAGAAAACAGATAAATTACTTAAAAATTTAAAAATTTGTTAATATATGAGAAGGCGAAATGCCTTAAGTATGCTTTAAATTTAATATTTGTGGCAGGACTTTCTCTAAACTAGAATAAAAAAAAAAATTATCAAATAATTCCAAAAACTAACACATTAAAAACTTAAGTTTGACGTATCCTTCCTCCTCCTCCTCCTCCTTAAGCAGCTAAGAAATAAATTTTTGCTGGCAACAACAACTGTTGCTTTTCCAAGTATAGTATTTTGTATAAATTTTGCAATTTAATTAATCTTTTTTAATAATTGTTTTATTCAACTCCTTAAATTTTGCAAACTTTTTCCATTATATTTTGCATACATTTCCGCTCTAATTTTTTGCTCCACAAATGTAAATGAACAATTTTCTGTTTCTGTTTACTCAGGTTCGATGTGCTCGTCAATGGTGGCGGTGCTGTTACGCTGCAGTTTCAGCGCTCGCCGTTTAGACCACTAACTCGGACTGTATTTGTGCCTTGGAATCGCATTGTTGTTCTACCACCCGTGCAAATGCAGCTAAGCGACGATGAGGAGAGCACCACCAGAAACGTGCGGTACGTTGGTATATTTTGTTATTTACTTTTCCAATTAAAATTTTATTTAATTCTGGTCTAAAATTTATGTTTTCATCTCACAGTGTGGCGCCGCTAAATCCAGCATTGACCTTCCTCAATTCAATACTGTATCACTTTGCTGATGAACAAGTGGATTCCAGCAAAATCTGTGTGGAACACGATCATGAAGAGTTGAAACCGCAATTAATTAGCACTTGGATGCCAAATGGTGTGGGTGCCATGCCAGGCAAACGTGTCATATTCGCAGAGACGCAGGTGAGTTATAAATTAATTTCATTTTTCTTATGCTTGTAAACGGAACACTTTTAATCTCCTATGCTGCTATGCAGCGAGTTTTGGTTGGTTGGTTGGAAATTTAAAATTAGTTTCATTGTTGAAACAACATATTCCGGTTTAACACTTAACATTATGGTCACGTCGGATATACTGCTGCGCTGGGTATGTACGGTCACATATTAATTGCCAGTAGCTGTGCACTGCCCTCAAATATCTTTAGCTGAACCTTGTTTGCTGTTTTAAAGTTTAATGCAGTACACATCCTTGGGAACTTAATTCATTGCATCTTGAGTCTGTGTGGTTTCACTCGAAATCTTGGCTGATAATATTCCTGACACACGCACTGCAGATAAAGTGCAATGTAGTGCAGTGAAATTTGAGGAAACTAGCACAACCAACGCAAGATAAGTTTTCCTATTGCAGTGTTATATTTACGTGTGCACTTAACCTGGTGCCATTATTTACGTTGAACTTCCTTTATGGGTTATGCTCTTGTACTGCAACAGCCCTTTAAGTTGGTTTAACTTGGCGACAGTTGCTCTTCCACTGCTCTTAACTGATGGCAATGGGAGAAATTCTTACTTGCAGTGCACTTAATTTTTAATTAAATTAAAACTTACCTTGAGGACATTAAAATTTAATATGTTAGATGTTTTGAAAATGCAGCCAAGAGAGCGATTGACTAAGCTGTAAGTACAGTTGCAACAGAATACTTTTGCACTAGTTTTCTTTGCACTTTACCATTAAATGAAAGGTGACTTATGTCTGTCTCGGTGCAAAACTTTAAAAACTTGTAGACGCAGAAGTTAAAATTGAATTAAACTCTAAAAAGTATTAGTAATTTATTTTTTCTTTGTTTTGTTAATAAAAAATGTTCATTCTCTAAAATTATTCGTTTTTTTTTTCACTTTTCAGATTGTGCAAGAATCTATACAAATACCTGGCTCTGATCTACATTTGACTTACCAATCCTCGCAAGCTTCTGGTTACTTAAGCATCGTTCGAATGCGTCTTACATCAGAGCAAATACCGAAGACCTTAACACATGTGCATGTTGGTGTGGAAATCGAAGGTGCATTGCACGTAAAGACTTACGAAGCTGATCCGAATCTTATACACACCTTTGCATGGAATAAACGCAATGTTTACCGCCAGAAGGTGTACGGTGTCACCATAGCACGTATCTCAGTTGGTTATCAGCACTCAACTTGCAAAATGCCAGTTTGGATTACGCAAACTGCTAAGCTGCAAGGTTACGACGTGGATATATCTGACATTGGTGGCTGGGGCTTGGACATACATCACCACTACAACTTCCATGAGGGCATATTGCAAAAAGGTGATGGCAGCACTTTACACATGAAAGAATATCCACGCACAGTTAAAGTGGTCATGGGTACAGGACTGCAGAGGCCTTTAATATGTCCCGATCACTGTAATGGCGTTGCTAAGGATGCAAAACTATTAACGCCAATCGCGTTAGCTTCTGGTCCTGATGGAAGCTTATATGTTGGAGACTTTAATTTAGTGCGTCGCATAACACCAGATGGAAAAGTGTTTACTATTTTACAACTCAGCACCACACAGGTCTCTTATCAATATTACCTAGCAGTGTCACCAGCAGATGGACATTTATACATATCAGATCCAGAACGGCATCAAATATTGCGTTTACTGCGCCTAGAAAAGGTTAAAGATCCAAGCATCAATAGTGAACCGATTGTGGGTAGCGGTCAGCGTTGCATTCCAGGTGATGAGGGTAATTGTGGTGATGGTGGCCCAGCACTGCAAGCACGTTTATCACATCCCAAAGGTCTAGCCATAGCAGCTGACCGAACTATGTACATAGCAGATGGCACAAATATACGCGCTGTTGACCCCAAGGGAATAATACACACGCTTATTGGACATCATGGTCATCACAATCACTGGAGTCCAGCTCCTTGTTCGGGCACGCTAATGGCCAACCAAGCACAATTACAGTGGCCTACTGGATTGGCACTTAGTCCATTAGATGGCTCACTACATTTCATAGATGATCGTTTAGTTTTGCGACTCACCTCCGATATGAAAATACGCGTCGTTGCAGGCACGCCACTACACTGTAATAGCGGCCAAGACAAGACAAACAAAACCACAGACAATGTATTAGGGACGGTGTTGGCTATGGCCTTTTCACCATTCGGAGATCTCTACATAGCAGATAGCGATTCAAGGCGAGTGAACTCAATACGTGTCGTCGATACTGCTGGAAATATGCGCTATTTTGCTGGCAAACAGGAGGGCACCGGGTAAGTAGCACTATATTTATATTTCTTAAATAATAATCACCATGAAATGTATAACAACTCGATCGAAATTTTCATCTATTTGCATTATTGCCGACATGAAATTTCAAATACCATTAACCACAAATAAATGCAAATATGACATATATTTCCACTATCTGAAAGGGCATAAAAACTGCAGATATATACTCGTAAACAGTCCTTCTATGATAATTTGCAGTTGTTATTAGTAATTTTTCTCTCATGGTCCTGCAACCGACTGAAATGTAAAGTAGCAAAATTGAGTTTGCATTTTCACTTTGTGAGATTGTATGGTATGCACATGAGTTTGGCTTTCATTAGACCCTTCTAATCCACTCACATTGCTCTACATTTGCACAATTTTGTGTATTTTCACTTTGTTGTATTTTAGGGAAAAATAAAAAGTTTCAAATTTGAAACAAAAATAAAAAATAAAAAATAAAAAAAATAGCAATGAAACTAATATAAGGCAAATGTTCAAGTAGCAAAAACAAAATAATAATTTTAAAGCTTTGTAGTGCATTTTCCATGTCTATTCAGGTACATGAAATGCAGTGAAACTTCTGCTCCTGATGTAATTTACTGATAAGCACAGCAGTACATTGCCAAAACTGCAAATTAAAGTGGCAACTATTTTCATATAAAGTAATGCTCTCCATATTTTTCATATTGTGTATGAGTTTTATAGTTGCAGATTATATTTAATGAATCTCGATTTTTTTCATTGCTTTTGTATCCATCCTTCAAGTGGTTGTTGAGGGCGTTTGACTGCAGTAACATAGAAGGACCAAACTTTGTTCAGATATTAAACTAAAAGTAGAAATTTGCTTTGTGCTGGAAAATCAGGATTTAGTACATTAAAGTGAATTTGAATAGTTAAATTTTTCGTTTCAAAGAAAGTTGGTAAAACAGTGAAAGAAAGCCTTTCAAACCATATGGAAAAATTATTAATAAGTTTTTCCTTTTCGGACAAAAATATTCAATTATAAAGAATTCGAAAATTAATAGTGATTTTACAACAAAAAAAAAATACGATTATACAAAAATCGGTACTCATATCTATGCGGGGCTAACACCTGCTTAAAATCACTTTATAAAGCAAATTTGGTTTTTTTTTTATTGATAATTTAAAAATTTTTTTACCTATTTTCATTATTCTTAAATAAGTAAATAAAAAAATAGCAGCTTATACTCTCACAGACGAATCTCAAAAATTAGAAATGCAAATATCTTTGCTTTTCAATAGATTTTTAAATGTCTTCGTCTAATGCTCCAAAACAGAAAATGTCATGTTGTCGTTGTCGTTGTCAATTTAAAATCATTGACAAATTAAAATTTTTTTGATAATCCTTGAAAAAAGAAAAAATTTAACCAGACTTCTAACTTGATGTGTCAACGGCCTGAACGATACTAATGTTTTCGTCCCAGTAAAAAGCTTGCTAATTTTTTCCAAACATTTCTGTATTGTTTTTTACAATTTTTCGCGGAAACGACCCTTCTGCTTCCGTTATCAACCAAACCGTCATTGGCAACATGGCCATGTTTAAGTTTGGGCTTGAAGCCCACCATCCCTTTGTCAGCCATTTTGTTTGCCTTTCTTAATCTGTCGCGTTGTTTGCCAAAGTTGCCAAGTTGTTATACATATACATTTCCCTACTTTTTACAAGCATTCTACTCCGATGTGCTCCAATGACAACTGTAGGATTTTTTGTGTGCATTCCTTCAACATATCTGCTTTTGCTCTCCTCTGACTTTTTAGCATTTTATTTTAAATGTTGCCTGGTTGTCATTAACAACCTTTTTCACAGCTTTTCATTTTAGCAGATAATTTCAAGTTTTTTGAACTTTTGTGGTTAAATTTCCAGCTTCAGAATAAAAATCTAAAAGTCCACTGGACAGACGTTAGTGTCGCATATTTTTTGCAGCACATTTTTCGCAACTTTTTGCAGAATGTAGAATGTTTTATTTGAATATCTTACGGTAGTCACATTTTTCAGTTATTGCACAGACGAAACACATATTTTCAATAAGCAGTTTTGGCTCGCTTAAGATGCCCTTAAAATCCTTTCATTTTCTCTACATTTTTCACGTTTTGTGTTCTTTTTGTCATTTTTGTCATTTTTGCTGTTTTTACTGTTTTTGCCAGTACAGCCGTCAGAGTCACTTTCTTAGCCACATGCTTTATACTACAAATTCCTTTACAATCAACTTAAATTTTAATCCTATTCCACTTCATGCCACATTAACTATATAAATCTACAACTAGCATAACACTGAGACTCATATTTACTTAATCGCTTACAGTTCACTAACCTGTGACTGTTCCAATGGCAACAGTGTGAATGGTACAACGACAAGCGCAGCATCTTCAGTTGGCTCAGCAGGCAACGCTTATTCAACGACAGTGAATCCTACACGCAATAATGGTGGTACGACTCCCACTACACCATCTGGTGGTGCATTTAGTGGAAACGGAAATGGCGGTATCGGTACAAATGGTAATGGCAATGGCAGTGGTGGAGCCTGTGTATGCAGCGGCGTAACTACTGGATTGTCAAGCATTGTGCCTGGTGGTAATTTAATGTCAACTGGACCCACAACAACCACAACTGTATTGCTCGGCGCTAAGGCAACGACTGCTGCAAATGGAGGCACTCCCCTAAATGATGATGGCACTTTGAGCAATGCCGAGACGTTGCTATCATCGAATGCACGTTTCCAAGCGATTTCGGCAATAGCAGTTGCTCAGGATGGCGTTATTAATGTCGCAGATCAAGGTAAGTGTATGAAATTTATAAATAAATTAGTTTTTATTAAATTAACAAGTTTAATTTAATTCTATCTACTTAATTTATAAGCGTAGTTAGAGTAACGAAAATTTGCAAAAAAAAATGCATAAAATAATTTTAAAAAATATTTAAATATTGGAAGGAACACAAATTAATTAAAATAGTTGTTTTTCGCAAATTATTTAGTTGAGAAGTCAGTTCTTATAAGTCAGTTCTTTTCTTCTAAGAAATTACACGAAACTGCAATTTCTAAATAAAAAATATTCGGCCAGTAGTAGTATTAAGTACTCTTAGCTAACTATTGAGCGTGTCATAACCTATAATCTTGACAGGACCAAAGTTTTAAGTCTGCAACTTATACAGGGCTAATAAAGTTATGCGCTATTTCTAATAACCACTGATAATGGGTGTTTGGCAATACTCGAATCGGCTGTTTGGTCAGCCATAAAAATTCGATGGTTTATATATAAAAATTCTTGTTGTTGCAATTCAAAAAAAATTCTAAATGTAAAAATTTAGTTAAAAATTTTTTTAAAACTTATTCTAGTGTAAACTAATATAGAATCATGAAATGTATGTATAAATACAATATATAATTGGAGTTTGTTCTCCTTTTATTTATGGAACGGTGCTGCCAGGGGAAGGAAATGAAGCAAATACACTTTAAATATGAGAGAAAAATATTATTTTACTTATAAAAACTGAACCAGTGAGGCCAGCCATTTCCTTTTATCTCCTGCTACACTCACCATTTACACCATTACTTTTAGATATACAATATATTTTGAGAAAGTTGATATTTTTTCGTAGCAGTTATAAGATATTTTATTTATCTTTTTATATTCATTATATTTTACTTTGTACTTTCGAAATACTTTTAATGAGAGCTGGAAAGATAACAGTTTAGAATTACTATAGACGGGTAACGATTCTGTACAAGAACTGATTTAGTCAGAAACAATAATTAAAGTTGTGGGAGGAAAATGCAAAGTACTTTGTTTATCATTTGGACAAAGTCATGCTACTACTGAGCCCCTAAAAACAACACCTCAACTAATGAATAATTCACTAATTAATAAAGTACATGGTAGTTTCTTTTGTTCTGATTGCTTCTACAAACTATACTACAGTACTAGTCCCAGTTCCAATGAGTTGTGAATGAATGTGCTGCTTTCGAGTACGTTTTTACGTCCTTCAGTTTTTGGAAAGCCTTCGATTGGTTCCTGTTTATTTGTAATTTGTATTACAAAATCGAATCAATCATAAATTTGTATGCAAAAAGTAACGTAAACAATTTTTCACTCTCACGTCTCGTTCACGTTCACATTCCCCAAACACAGAGAACTTCTAACATCAAAGCCACGAAATACGCTTCAGAAGCTAAAACAATTTTTGATTTTTTGTACTTTTAGCAGATTTACAAGAATTTCTGCCTTTCCACGCTAACATTAATTAAGCTTATTTTGTGCACCCCACGCCTGGGCGAAACGGTGATAAATACCATTGCCATCAGCTTTAGCTAATAAGATTGATTTTAACTTGTTTGCCTTCGAACATTTTTTACTGGAACACTGCGTACTCAATGTTATGTAAGCAGATAGGTAAGCGCATGGATTTGGTGGGTGAGTGCCCGGAAAGCTTCGCAGGCGCTCCTGTGTAGCAATGCAACATTTGTCGGTAACTTGATTAATTACAGCTATTGATTTTTCTTGCTGCCATGAAATACTGGCGTAAACTTAACACTGGGCTGGTGGCAGGGGTTCTATTGCCATTGCTTTTGCTTTTGATTGAAACGCAGTCTGCTTCATCTGCTTCATCTGCTCCGTAAGTGGGAAGGAATATCAACTACGTCTACTCTAAATACCAACTGTTACTTTAGTTCGTTGTTAATACTTTTTCTGCTCTTTTTCTTCGACATTAATTAATTACTTTGGTTCTTATCTAATTAAGCCCAGGTAATGCTCACAAATTTTTACCTTGGTATTTTTATTGATAAGTTTTCCATTTTCCCGTATGATGTAAAGACCTATCGACTTATGTTTGAGTGGAGGAATACAAAAGGAAACTCGTTAAGTTTTCAGCATAATAACTTTTTAATGTTGAAGTCTTTGCGGTGAAAATGTTTTCTTACTTTTAAATTTTTTTTATGTAAAACTTATTAACAATCAAGTAACATGCATTTGTTTTAGTGAACATTAACATTTACTTAGGAATATATCATTAAAACTGAGAGCCAGACAATCCATTTACTCACTGAGTTGAATTATTTACTATATATTATGACTTACTTATAGGACATTGGAATCGATATATGTTTTTGAATTTAATGAAGATTGATTTCTTGTGCAGAACATTCGTTAAATCTTATAATTTTGTTAGATTAAATAAATTCGGTGAAGAAAGAAATATAGATCTTAAAAGCTTAGTTATTATTTTTCAAAATAATTTTTTTGAAAAATTTTAATTCGTTGTTTTGTTATACTTGCGGTTATTCTTTTATAGTCTTACTTTTTTAGAATTTCTAAATATATGATTTTGAAATAACATATATTTTCCATAGCTCAACGTATAGAAACCTTAAGTGTTCCACATCATTTTTGTTAAATATTTTCTGTGTTCTATCAGCAAGGAATTCTCTTTCATACTTTCTGCAATATTCGTAAAATAATCAATAATTCTTATAACGTGCTATGCAATTCTTATTATAATAAATCTTACTAAATGTAATATAAGTATACTTCAATGGAAAATGTGGAAGCTGTAGGCATTCTAACATTTTGATAAGAAAAAGTAGACGTTTCAATAAGACTCTTCACCATCACACATAGCACGCACCTACCAACAACGTCTTAGAGACAACCTTCCACTTTCAATATCTTTTTGATCGCAGAGTTATTCTCGAGTCTGCAGTTGCGACTTTGCTTAAGGTGTTATAGCTTATTCAGCAAGCCAAAATCCGTATTAAAAAATAACTGACGCTACAGAAAATCTTTCTTCGTGAAAATCTAAAGTTTCCTTAGGTTACGACTTCTGTAGCTTGCGACTAATTTGTTGTGTGACTTGATCAAATATTTCTCACCTAGGAAGCTACAATGATTATTTGAGCTTTTAAAAAAAAATTTAATTGATTCACTATTCCTTTTTAATCAGCAATAAAATGTGTGCAATAACACTCATAAAAAAAATACCACGTTTTGTAGAACACTTAACAAACGTGATCGGTCAGCACAATATTCACCTGACACAGCCATATATGACTTTTTTCCAAAATTAAAATAACTACTTCGAGGAAGACGTTTCGAGCCGATTACAACAATAATGTTTCTTATTTTATTTTGTTTTTTCTATCACGAATTGTTTGTTTGAAGAGTTGGAAAATCTGACTTCAAACAATCCACAAAAAAAAATATCTGCGAACGAATTTTCTTCCCAACTTAACCACTTCGAAAAAGACTTTTCGAGGCTATTGCTGCAATAATAAAGAATTTGTAATAAAATAAAGAAGCTGGATGATCAAACCTTAAATAATCCACTAAAAAATCTATCTGGAAATGGATTGAGCAACTCCGTAGATGTACTGCACTCAATTGAGCCTACTATGAAGGCGACGAAATAATTTTTAATTGATTGATTCATTTTATTTAATAATTATAATATTTAGTGGACTACATATATATTAATAAATTTTATAATTCCATTAGGTTGTACATTCTGTTCTTAAAGAGAACATTTTTTAACTTTATACTTTTATTATTCCAAAAGTATTACTTTATATGTTTATTTCATTAGTTTTTATTTGTGACACATTAAAGTTGTTTGTTCAGCAAGATTTTATCCAATGAATGGTATGTTTCTACTCTACCTTACTTATTCCACAAGCTTCGGTGTATGGAACTGTCTACTAAATTATTAGTATGCAATTGACATGTAAATAAGATATTAAAGAAAGTTTTTCTTTCTAGCGGAAAAACCTAAAAAGTTTTCGACACTCTCCACAAGAAAACAGAAAGCAGAAAACTACATGTTATGCATAGACAATTAAGTTGTAGGCGGACATATAAAAGAACGTATATCAAGGACCTGAATAGACTTCCGTTAGCACATTATTGACAATAATTTCAATTGTTGTTAACACATATGCCTATGAACATATGAATAGTTTGAAGTTTACTAAAATACAACAATTTGTAATGGGAGAGAATTCTTTTTTATTTATGTACTTTTATTTATAAGGAATATATATATACATTAACAACATGCGTAAGCAAAAATCAATTCAAATTTATGTACAGCAGTCATTAGTTTAAGTATGTGCATTTAAAGGAACCGGAAGTTCAAGCGTTTACACATACGCTGTGCCGAAGACATTTTGTTGTGTTGCGTTACACTTTGCATACAAAAAACGACGAAAATGAAACGGAAATTGTGTTTTAGTACATTTTGGTGACAATAAATTAAGCTTCATGTTTCATGTTTCAGTTTCTTAGCAAAGCAGAACTTCCCACAACGGAAGTATTAACAAACTGCGCCCAAAGTGAAACGATTGTAAACGATTTTATGAAACATTTCATTTTTTCTGTCCCACAGCCCCTCTTGTGCTGTGCTCATATTTGACTTATTTCTCTTCAAATCTATTTTCAATTCACTGCACTTACTCGTATAAGTTTTATTTAAACTTTGGCACAATTTTAGCAATTTATGTATCTTAACAGCCACAATCAATGTCGTGTACATTCTACCAAGTAACGCACACAATCCATATAATTTGCTCCATTGGCATCCATTTATTTACTACGAAAATTGTTGTAACAGAATTTGGCAAATGAACTGTAATGCAATCAAAATTCACTATTAGTCTATGGAACTTTATGGGACTCTATGGAAGTCTGTGAAAGTCTGTGGAAGTCTGTGGAGGTCTGTGAAGGTCTGTGGAAGACTTACAAACAACCCAACCACGACTATGTGTACTTGAATACTTTATTCAATAT